ACACACCCACACACACACAGCTGTCAACTGCCGCTCCCCTTCCCTCATGTCATTTCTGTGTGGTCTGCATACGTGTGGAGGGCATCTCTGTCGGCTTTGTGGAGGAAGTCCAGCGTGTGTTCGTCGATAACGGCACCATGGCGGTCCGCAGTGTGGTTGTTGCCCATTTCGCCCTCTCTACGCTCCTGCAGGGCCGATCAACTTCATGCCATGGTTGCCAGCCGTCGGGCCCAATTGCTGACGGACCAACTCAAGGGTTAGGGTTAGGGTTGGGGTTCTCACCCCTCACCCCCATCATTCAAACGTGGATGCAATCGTACGCGTTCTTTAATTCATCGCATGGATGGTGTGATCGAGCAACTGGAATGCGGGATCTCAAGGGTTAGGGTTGGGGTGACGGACGGTTAGGGTTTGAGTCGCCCAAAAGATCCTGTCGCCATGAAGGACGACGGCCTCCGCCACACGAGCGCCTCTATCGAGCCCCTGGCTATGAAGCAGCTGCAGCTGGACGCACCGCAATCAGCCCGCCCGCGATGCGACAGTGACCACCATCAGCACCCACACACACAAGGCCCCATTATCTCCGGGCAGGACCGCAAGGCGCAGGCAGAGGAGCGGAGGAAACAGTTCAATGCAGGTATGTAGCCCATCACCGACAATGCAGCACAGTGAATGAATAGCGGTGGGTGCACTGTCTGTGTTGCAGTGTGTGCTGCCGAGGTCGACGCCTACTCGACTTACTGCAGGCTCAAGCGTGTCCAGAAGAAGAGTCGGTGCTCCACCTCCGGGCACTCCAAGAATGACTGGCTGGCAGGCATTGTGCCGAGCGAGCTGCGGAAGTGCTCCTGGCGGCACCTGACGAAGGACCAGGTGGGGCTGATCATGATGGCCTACGTGTCGGTGCTGGTGGAGATTGTGGAGCTGGCGTCGACACTCGTGGCTGACGAGGCGGGGATGCTGATGGTGACTGTCGTGTACATCTTCTGGTTCGTCTACTCCCTGGTGACGACCATCGACTGGCTGACGCTGCCGTCAGGGGAGAGGCCGACCATCATCTACCCCCTCGGCAACCTGGGGGCCATCTGCGGGTGAGTGGAAAAGCAATGGAAGCAACGGACGGATGCCGCAGACACACAGGGGTGCTTTGGTTCTGGTTTGGTCGGTGGGCAGGTATCCTTTGTGGTCGTTGTGGGCGTTATCGCTTCGGTTCTCCGTGGGGACATCCGAGATGGAGTGCAGCCTGTACCTGGCCGGGTTCATCTTCCTGCTGTACGGTGGGCTGCTCATCCTCCTCGAGAGCGAGATAGAGTTCCTGCCGCCATGGTGGAGGCCGCACAACTACCCAACCATAGCGCGTATTCTCCTCTTCACTGGTAATGGGGGGGAGAGAGGGAGGGAGGTGCATCCACTTGCGCATTGTTTTCACTTTTTCCTTGCTTGCTTCAGGGATCGTGTCGATGAGTGTCAACGCCCTCATCTTCAATCTGGACGACCAGGGGCTCATGAACGACCCCACGGTGCCCATGGTGGGCCAGCCGCTCAGCTGGCTCATCGGCTTTCTCGCAGCACTGCAGGCGCTCACCGCCACCCTGTTTCTGGCCACCGATGCGAGGTCTCTCTTCGATCCTGGTGTGGCCTGCCACCGGACGGCCCTGCCGATCGCTCAGCATCAGCACTGGGACGACCTCAGCTTCACAGTATCCGTCCGAGCGGTACCAACGAGAAGAACACACACACACACACAGCTAGGGGGCAGAGGGGAAGATGCACCTACCAATGGCGTGGTGCGTGTGTGCGTGTGTGTGTAGGTGATGGCGGTGCAGCGGTGGTGGCGCAAAACCCGTGATCGACTCGAGAGGGAGTACCTTGAGGGGAAGCGACCGCATCCGCCGACCCGTTCGTCATCCATATTGTCACCCAGGACACCTGCGGCGGGGTTTGGAAAGAGGCTGAGCAGAGACCTGACGGAGCCGCTGCTGGACACGGTGGACGAGGGCAGGTGAATGCATCGTATGCAGGGCTCGATGAGATAGGTGAGTGGCGTGTTGGCAATTAAGTGGTTGGGTCTTTTAGGGTTGGCGGTGTTGGTTACATGTCTCTGAGTAGGAGGGACTTGTTGTGTGTGAGGTCGTGCCGTGATCGGTTGTGTGGGTGTGACGTACCATTTGTGAGTGGGACCTGCCCGTGGGTCGACGTGTGTATGGGAAAACTGTGATCCGGATGCCAGAATGAATGAATGAATGTTGCGTGCGGTTGGCTGAATATCCATCTGGTCACGCAAAGCAAGCACGCGGCCTGCTTGGCGAGTGTGCAGTGTCGAGTGTGCAGGCAGAGCAGCCATGAATGACCTTCTCAGAGCTGGCAGAGAGATGTGTGTGGGTCAGCCAGCCGCTGGAACAATTCGAATGTACTGGCAATACACATGCATCTCTGTCCACCACGGGGGCATACAGGCACCACATGGTGCCGATAGAGCCACATTGGTCTCTGCCATTGGTACGGTGCCATGCCATCTAGCTCTCCTCCACCCTCCTTCTCTTGGCCTCCCTCTCCACACCCTCACCTGACACATTGAAGCAGACATCCATAACCCACACAACCACACAACGAATGCATGTGTGTCGCTCTGATCTGGCTCATCCCCTCCGCCCATCTCACCCTCCTCCTCCTCCTCCTCCTGCAGCTGCTGCTGGCCGTCGCCATGGCCATCGCCCTCCCCATCCAGATCTGCACACGCAACATATGCAAACGTACAAGTGAGCCCAGACACAAACACGGCCCCCCCCACTGACTCCTCACCCTCATCGCTATCGCTATCGTCGTCATCGTCACTATCCTCGCCCGCACCCTCTTCTGCACAAACCACACACCGATTCATCCAGCCGACAGACCGAGATGGAGGCGGCTGGCTGCACACTCACCCTCATCGGTGACTTCCTCCTGTTGGTTGACCACCATGTTTGCTATGGTGCTGCCCACCAGGCCGCCCACTAGAGGGGCGGTAGAGGGCCGGCGGTCCTTGAAGGCATCCGATGCATCACCTACTGGCGGCTCGTCGGTGACGACACCCACAGTCACTGCATGAAGCGAAACAGCACACGTCAAAGGATGACTCAATCAGCAGAAGATCTGTGGCTCCATCCCGTACCGCTGTTCGTGCCGTGGGCCCAGGTGATGAGAATGATGTCTGCGACAAATGGGCTGTCGAATGGCGTCAGCTGCAGAATCCGAAACTCTACAGGGGGACCATTATCATCGTCCCTGCTCGCCACAACGGCCGTGCACCTGTCGGGGGGCTGGTGGGGCGAGTGGTTGAGGAGGCCGTCCAGCACACCGCCGTGAGCATGGCTGAGGAGACCAACACAGAGCAGAGGGAAGAGGCCCTGATGGATGGATGAGTGTCTGCCCGAGTGTCGTGTGTTCTGCATACCGGTCCACGTAGGCCCATGGAGTGGCGCCCCAATTCCCGGCCCGCATGATTGTCCTCATGATGAACGCCGACGCTGAGGCATCAGTGAGAACATCATCACTGGCCGTCCAGCTGCCCCCCTGCAGGTCGATTGAGGATCTGACGGGCGGGTTGTCGTTGATGGTGTGTGGGTGGTATGGGTGGGCGGGGGGGAGGGGCGGGTTGATGTCCAGCTCGAAGCCCGGCTCGTCCTTGAAGGCACGCACACCGCCGCCCGGCTGGTCGAACAGCTCAAAACGGCCGTAGTTGCCGCCGAAGTTGACGTGTCTGCCGACCATCTTCCACAGCGCAATCACACGCGCATCGGCCAAATACGCCTACACACACAGACAGACAGACCGATGAGTGCCACCCACCCCGCCCCACGCTCATCTGCCCACCTGTTTGCTATCGTGACGCTGCATGTCGGCCACAGCCAGTGTGATGGGCAGCTGGCAGAAGCCGCGCTGCCTCGCCAACTGCAGCGCATTGGCCACCTCGGTCCACTGCTGCGTGTCCACCAGCCAGATGGCCTTCAGCAGCAAAGGGCGGTCCAGCTGAGCGTCGAAGGCGATGATGGCGTGCAGCCCCTTGGCGGCCAGGCAGCGATTGAGTCGGCTGCTCAGGACGGCGGCCGAGAAGTCGACTTCCCAGAGGAAACGGGCCGTGGCTGAGGCTGCCGACCTCCAACCGGCTGCACACATACACAGATAGCCAACACACCCACACACACACAGCTGTCAACTGCCGCTCCCCTTCCCTCATGTCATTTCTGTGTGGTCTGCATACGTGTGGAGGGCATCTCTGTCGGCTTTGTGGAGGAAGTCCAGCGTGTGTTCGTCGATAACGGCACCATGGCGGTCCGCAGTGTGGTTGTTGCCCATTTCGCCCTCTCTACGCTCCTGCAGGGCCGATCAACTTCATGCCATGGTTGCCAGCCGTCGGGCCCAATTGCTGACGGACCAACTCAAGGGTTAGGGTTAGGGTTGGGGTTCTCACCCCTCACCCCCATCATTCAAACGTGGATGCAATCGTACGCGTTCTTTAATTCATCGCATGGATGGTGTGATCGAGCAACTGGAATGCGGGATCTCAAGGGTTAGGGTTGGGGTGACGGACGGTTAGGGTTTGAGTCGCCCAAAAGATCCTGTCGCCATGAAGGACGACGGCCTCCGCCACACGAGCGCCTCTATCGAGCCCCTGGCTATGAAGCAGCTGCAGCTGGACGCACCGCAATCAGCCCGCCCGCGATGCGACAGTGACCACCATCAGCACCCACACACACAAGGCCCCATTATCTCCGGGCAGGACCGCAAGGCGCAGGCAGAGGAGCGGAGGAAACAGTTCAATGCAGGTATGTAGCCCATCACCGACAATGCAGCACAGTGAATGAATAGCGGTGGGTGCACTGTCTGTGTTGCAGTGTGTGCTGCCGAGGTCGACGCCTACTCGACTTACTGCAGGCTCAAGCGTGTCCAGAAGAAGAGTCGGTGCTCCACCTCCGGGCACTCCAAGAATGACTGGCTGGCAGGCATTGTGCCGAGCGAGCTGCGGAAGTGC